TATTCTTCACATTTTAGAATACTTCTAGAGCGAAGATCTCTTTGAAACTTTCAGTATTTCTTTTTAAAAAATCATTTTAACAGACTGCAATGCAAAGCGTACGGATCGGATTATCGAGTAAATTTCCTCTTTGGAAAGTGGTGGCACAGAGTTCCCCACATCTTTCGGATAGGATATGTAGTAAATCACGACGTACAGATAGTAACTTCCAAGAAACCACGCCACATCGGCCACCAATTAAACGTCTGGCGTCGCCAAATATCAGCTCAATAACCTCAAAGCTGATGGGTGCAGGTGGTTGGCGGGTGCTCTCGTGTGGTTTGATTTTTCTTTCCAATCAACCGTCTATCGTCTTTATCTCCCTTCCTTTTTGTGTTTGTTACTCTCTAGTAACACCTCTAATCTTCGGCACTTATACGACCTTATTGTGTTGCAAGGGCCGTAAAACTCTTACTAAAACAAGCTGATGGATACCCTTGATGGTTTTATTTGTGAGTACTTGCGCTCAAGTCTACGTGACTGGTTTCTCGTGGCTCGAAGACCGACAGGACGGGAGCATTAGGTTAAAAAGAATATTATATTGTCGCTTTTAAGAACAAGGGGGTTATCCCGAAAAATGCTTCAAGGATCTCAACCCATTTATCTCGCTCCTCTTGGAGACAGACGTTAAATTCGGAGGTCCTGCCTTAAAAAAAGAAAAACACACCAATATTCAATAGCCCAAATAGTGTTGATAGAAGCGTTAAAGTTAAAGCCATACAGTTACTTTACTAAGTTTACTGACTGAAACAGCCCACCAACTGGAACTTTTAAGATTGAAATACATGTACACGACAAATGGGCCAACAATGCCTGAAGCAATCATAATATTAATAAAAATATCTTGTATTTTTGAAGTTGTATCGCCCTTTTATAGTGGGTGACGTCATAGACACAATTTAAATATTTCAGGAGGCGGGCTTTCCAACACTGTTGTCTGAGGGCCAACCCGGGCTGTTTAAAGGGATATTATCCAAACAGAAAGGCTGATGAGATACTAATACTAGATAGTTAAATTTGTCCTCATTTGGGAATTTAACTCGGGTCTTATATGCAGCTAGACCAGCTCCCCAAACTGAGTAAGTGAATATAATAAGATAAGATAAGATACATCTTTATTGTCCAGATCCTGGAACATTGATTAGGTTTTTTACCACGAACACACACGCGCGCGCGTGCGCACATGCAATCTTACAGTCACATGCATAATATAAATAAACAATAATATAAACGATAATTAATAATCTAAGCTAGGATACGTACTCAGTATTCTGACGGCAAAACTGAATGTTGCTCTGATGCATGCTCTATTGTCATATGAATACAATGTACATGTCATATATGTACTTGTAATAAGATGGTTGAGATGGGACGTACGTATATAATATAACATCGTGGGCACCATCATCTTATACTTGGACCAATGACAAATTAATGAAAAGAAGCTCACCAATGTTACCAGTGTAACGTTAATAACATATACGTCTCTCATCATTGTCGTCGTCGTCATCATCATCATCACCATCATCATCATCATCATCATCATCATCATCATCATCATCATCATCATCATCATCATCATCATCATCATCACCGTTGTTGTTGTTGTAAGCACGATAACAATTTAAGAACAAAAATAATGGAGACGTGAGTATTCGATTTGAATATAAGGCCTATACACTGTAATCAGAGAGTTTAAACTTCAGTGTTAGCTTACTGTAAACTCGCTGATTGATATGATACTGCCATCTAACCCATAGAAATAAAATACACCTTTGTTCAACGTTTTGCTGTCAGGAACGTGATAAAAAAACATCATCATCGTCATTCTTGACACACACATACAGCCATCTCTTTTCACGAGCAACAAATACAGCAACTTTCAAGTTATTTTTTTTTCCCCAACCATAACAACTTTTAACAATCGTAACTAGCATCTAGAACAAAAAAAAAGTAGGACACAGGACAAACACAAACACACACACACACACACACACACACACACACACACACACACACACACAAACACATACACACACAAACACACACACACATACACACACACACACACACACAAAGAAGGGATTCTAAGGAAGCAAGGACCCAGGCGCGTTCAGTTTGGGG